AGTTTATCTCTTTTTTCCAATCGTATGCTGTTGTCACGTTATCAGCAGACCAATACGATTCCTACATGTTAGTGGTTTTATATAACACATATATAAATAGGGGGAGGATCCAATGAGTACACTCCTTAAAATGAGTATACTCCTTAAAATGAGTCCACTCCTTAAAATATATATTAATTAAATAATAAAATAGTTATTAGTTGACTCCGGCGTTGACCGTTGACTTTCGGCGTTGACCGTTGACTTCCGCGAAAAATCGTTGACTTTCGACGTTGACCGTTAACTTCCGGCGTTGACCCGTTGACCCCTAATATGCATCATATGTATGAGATATATATGCATCCAGTACCATGCATTCAATATGAACTAAATATGCATGGGATATGAATTACACATGCAGTCCTTATGAACTAAATATGCACCAATAATATCAACTAAGTATGCACCTGTTATGAACTAAATATGCATCTGTTATGAACTAAATATGCATCATGAATGAACTAAATATGCAGCGAAAAATATGCAATAAAAATGTACATTTTATATAGGTAATTTATGATGCATATTTAGTTAATACGAAATGCATACTTGTTATATTTAAATTAAATATATAATAATATTTATATAATTAATTTATTATGCATATTTACTTAGTTCATGATACATATTTAGTTCTTACGAAATGCATATTTAGTTCATGAACAATGCATATCTATTTTATTTGAGATCCAATCATAACAATTTATTTGTGTTATTAATCAATTTAAAATTAACATTCGTTATATAATAAAAATAATTTAGTATTATATTTAATGTAATTGTATAAAATGTACATTTTATATAGGTGATTTATGATGCATATTTAGTTAATTTATTATGAATATTTAGGTAATTTATGATGCATATTTAGTTAATACGAAATGCATACTTGTTATATTTAAATTAAATATATAATAATATTTATATAATTAATTTATTATGCATATTTACTTAATTCATGATACATATTTAGTTCTTACGAAATGCATATTTAGTTCATGAATAATGCATACCTATTTTATTTGAGATCTAATAATAACAATTTATTTGTGTTATTAATCAATTTAAAATTAAAGTTCATTATATAATAAAATCATTAATTATTATATTTAATTAAATTGTATAAAATGTATATTTTATTGCATATTTTTGTTGCATATTTAGTTCATTCCTGATGCATATTTAATTAGTAAAATGTGCATATTTAGTACATAAACAGTGCATACATAGTTGATATTACTGGTGCATATTTAGTTCATAAGGATAACATATATAATTCATTTATGATGCATATTTAGTTCATACTAAGTGCATAGTACTGATGCATATTTACTTCATACACAATGCATGCTAAGGGTCAAAGGTCAATGTTGAAAGTCAACACCGGAAGTCAACGGTCAACGCCGGAAGTCAACGATTTTCGCTGGAAGTCAATGCTAGAAGTCAACGGTCAACGCCGGAGTCAACGGTCAACGCCGAAGTCAATGGTCAATTGTCAAAATAATATTTAAATAATTAAAATAATAAAATAAAGAAATAAGTAATAAAAATAAAGAATTATTATTTAATTAAAGAGTTAATCTTAGCCACACATAATGTACCAATCTAATGGCTAGGAATGGGTCTCACATTCACACTTTAAATATGTGGACTCATTGGATCCAATCTCTATATAAATATATATATAGGACTAACCTTTATGTAGCAGAAGCGATTACTTACCCGTATATCTTTTATCCGACGGCTACTAGAATCGTTGGTATCCTCCACGTTCTAAAACCCAAGCCGCCTTGATGGTTTCGGCTCAACAAGAGAAAAGCACTATATAAAGATTATGTATATCATTCTAATTATTTTCTTGTCTCGTATTGTTCACTTTTCAAGATGCAAAAAGCATCATATTTATAGTTGCATTCATACAACTACACACTAAATGAAGCCTTTAATCTTCACTTCATAACTCCATACATAATGGATGTGAGTAACAACTTCACCATTATGTGGATGTTACAAATTGATGCAACATAACGTCAATTAAATACAATACTCTCACTCAACCACTTAAGCTGAGACAATAATAAATCTTTATTAGCAAAATCTCTTGCCTCATACGGGTAATAGAGTGTGTGGCCAAATGCAACAATAACAACGTTATATTAAGTCATCATCTAACTAACATAACACTTTCAAACTTACGACAACCTCTAACTGTTCAAAAATCATCGATAGCATACACGGTCCCTATATGCTATATACACAACACTACACGATGCCATCAAGATGGAACGATGTTGACGACACGCATGATGCGCTCATAGAGATGTTGGGACGTCAGTGTGAGTCTCTAGAATGCCAACACAAGGCGTTACGACGCCAAGTCGCAGATCTAGCAGTGGGGCTCGAGGACATCTGATTGGCTCTACTTACCACTTCCCATGGCAAACAAATAAACCACACCCCAAATACAGGACGTGGCGACTACGTGGAAATGAACGGTGGACGAAGTACAGACACGAGGCACCCTACCCCAATCGTCTCAATCGTTTGTCGGTGGCGGTAACGTTAATGTCATCATATCTAAGATACGTCCTTTTTGTAGGGTGGCAGCACGTGACGAGGAATACTTCGCCGACGGTCGATGATGGGAGGCTATTTTTGGTTTGAGATCTTAGAATTCTCCGGCGGCTTGGAAGCCGCCGAGTTCGTGGATGCCAAGGGGTTGACCGAATATAAGGTCCCGCTTGTTTTTAATGACAAGGGGGCGACCGCATATGAGAGCCTGCATCTTTTTATAACGAGGGATCGCCCGAAGATGCAGGTATGCCGCTTTTTTATGACGGGAGGTCGACCAAATATGAGGATTTTCCTCTTTTTGATGACGTGAAAATTGTCTACAACAAGGACGTGGCTAACATTGAGCATTTTGCTAACAATTTAAAGGACATGGATTATGTTCTAGTTCCAACTATATATTGTGAATACACAACCCCACAGGTTCTTGTGATGGAATATGTTTGTAGATGCATAAAAATTGTGGCCAATCAAATGGCGCCACGTGGAAATTATTTTATTAAAAATCAAGTTATATTTTCTATTTATATATTAGGAATTTCCATAAATTTAATTCCTAAATTTAAATAGTTAATTAATTGATATTTTAATATTTTAATTCTTGACCGATCAAATAATGCCAAGTGTCAAATCTTATTCTTGGTAAATAAATCATATCTTCTAGAAGATCTTGGAAGATTTAAGTGGATCTAGAAGATCTTGGGAGATCTAAGTAGATTTTAAAGATCTTATGTGAATCATCATGAACCAATCAAATCGCGTCCTACGATTCTTAAATTTGGTAGGGTGCTCTCTTCTACACCTATAAATAGGGGCTCTCCCTAATGTCAAATACACACATCATAATTCATATTTTGAAGTTCAAGAGCTCTAGAGAATTCTCTCTACAAGTTTCAAGTGTTCTTGAAGATTCGAAGCCGTTCTTGAAGATTCGAAGGAAGATTCAAGCACATTCAAGCTCAAAACCGACGTTTAATTCGGAAACAAGCCGTCAAGCCTCCAAATTGCGTTCATATTCAAGCTCAAGTTCAAGATCTCTCGACGAGATTCAAGTGTTCTTGAAGATTTAAAGGCGTTCTTGAAGACACAAAGCAAGATTCAAGCGCGTTCAACCTCAAGACTAGCGTTCAATCCGGAAACAAGCTGCGAAGCCTCCGAATAACGTTAGTAAATTCAAAATCGGCGTGAAAAAGATTCGAGATCTACTTTGCGGTGAAGACCAAGGATTCGTGTTCTTCGCGTTCTTGGGATATTTTGACGTTTGATCCGGGAAAAAGCTTTCAAGCCCTCGGATTACGTTAATTCAAGTCAAATCAAGTCAAGGAGAAGATCAAGCCGAAGATTTCGCTCCAAGACTTAAATATTGTTTGTGAGAAAAATCAAAGGAAAAATAGAGATTGTAACCCGTAATATATTATTTTGATTCAAGTATTTCATTTGAATAATATTTTTCGTGTTTTTAAATTCAATTCACGAAATTTTTTGTTACAAATTTTTAGCACGCCCAGTGGGACATCTCTACCTCTCATCTCTTCTTCAAAGTTCCTCAAGTCATCATGACTAGTTGCAAGATTGCCGTAGTCAAGATTCCTTCAACAAGTTCCTCAAGTTCCAACCTCGACGTCGTCACAAGAAGCATGGCAAAGCAACTGCAAGCGTCTTCGGAGACGGCTCCTCTGCACGAGGTGATTGGAAGTGATAAGCTGCATCTTACCCACGAACGTGATGAAGACGACTCTGCTTATTCAACTCCTCGTTCATCATCAAGTTCTTCATCAAGCTCAAGTGTCGCTCCGGCTATGATGACCAATGCTTCAACTCTTGAAGAGCACATCGCAAGATTAACGAAGGTTATTGAAGGGCTCGCGAAGAAGGTCGAAGAGCAAGACTCTCAAATCTCAAAGCTAATGGACAAGGTCGACAATGCTGAAACAAGCCACGTGAAGGGCAAACAAACTGAACATCGTGAAGAGTCTGAAACGTCCAAGCAAGAGCAATATGAAGAAAGAGAGAAGACTCCATTCCAACACTCATCCACGGGAATGATTCCCATTGATCAACTGAAGGATTTCATCATGGGAACAATTAAGGACAAACTTGACGGTGGTTCCAAGTCAACCCACAGCTACGTCAAGCCATAATCACTTGAGGATGCCTGTTGGATATCAACCTCCCAAGTTCCAGCAGTTTGATGGCAAAGGCAACCCGAAGCAACATATAACCCACTTTATTGAGACATGCAACGATGCGGGAACCCATGGTGATTATCTCGTGAAGCAGTTTGTTCGTTCACTCAAAGGGGTCGCATTCGACTGGTACACTGATTTGGAAGCAAAATCCATCGTTAGCTGGGAGCAAATGGAGCACGAATTCCTTAGTCGCTTTTACAGCACAAGACGTACGGTCAACATGATCGAGCTCACTACATCTCGACAATGGAAGGAGGAGCCAGTCATCGACTACATCAATAGGTGGAGGAACTTAAGTCTGAATTGCAAGGATCGTCTGTCTGAGGCTTCTGCCACTGAGATGTGCAGTCAAGGTATGAGTTGGGGTCTTCGTTATATCCTTCAAGGTATTCGGCCGAAAACATTCGAAGAGTTAGCGACTCGCGCCCACGACATGGAGCTAAGCATGACCGCAAGCGGAGCTAATGGTCCTCCAATCCAAGAACCCCAAAGCTCGAAGGATAGATACGAGCAAAATAAAGGGGGCAAGTTTTCCTCGAAACCTCAAAATAAGGAGTCCATGATGATCAATGCTATGCCTGTCAAGTTCAAAGAAAAAGCTGCTGATAAAGCCATCGAAAAGAAGGATGTCCCCAAGGAAACTGAACAAAGAAGATTGACTCTGAAGGAAATGCAAGCAAAGCAGTACCCGTTCCTTGATTCAGATGTCTCTTGCATATTTGACGATCTGATGGAAGCAAAACTCATTGAGTTACCCGAGATGAAGCGTCCCGAAGAAGCTGGTAGGGTGAATGACCCAAAATACTGCAAATACCACCGTCTTGTAGGGCATCCAATTCATAACTGCTTCGTATTCAAGGACAAGGTTATGCAGCTGACACACCAAGGAAAAATTTCACTAGAAGAAAGTAGTGCAACTGCTAATCATATAAGCGAAGCTTGCAACATGACAAATAAGCACGAAGCTCCGCTGGAAGAAAACAATTTGCCTGAGGTTGAGAATCACCATGTTGATAATGATTCCATGATGGTCTTTACTGATGAAGATCTGCTGCTTGGTTCTAAGCCTCACAACAGACCATTGTTCGTGGCCGGCTATGTGCAAGAGCAAAAGGTTAACCGAATATTGATTGATAGAGGATCAGCAGTCAACATCTTGCCTCTTCGCACGCTAAAAGAGTTAGGAATGACTACAGAAGAACTTGGTAATAGTCGATTGATGATTCAAGGCTTTAACCAAGGGGGGCAAAGAGCTCTTGGCATCATAAGGTTGAGGTTGCTGATGGAAGATATGGAATCAACTGTTATGTTTCATGTCAACGATGCAAAAACTTCTTACAATATGCTTCTTGGTCGTCCATGGCTTCATGAGAATGGCGTGGTTCCGTCCACATGGCATCAATGCTTCAAATATTGCAAAAATGGCGTTGTGAAGACTGTGCTTGGTGATGATAAACCTTTTACGGAGGCTGAAACTCATTTCGCTGATGCCAAATACTATTTCAATGATGCAAAACCAGTTGAGAAAGTCTCGTCTAAGCAGCATAAAGGGTTTGAAAGTGAAGAATCAAAGATTGAAGAGGTAGAAAACTTTTTAAAAGAGTTAGTGTTGCCGCTGCCGAAGATAGATGACGAGAAACCTATCTCCCAACCACCCATGAACTTTGTTCGTCCAAGAAAAGGAGCTGTGACGGAGCATGGTGAAGGATTGAAGAACTCTAAGTGTTTTGATCCAAAAGCCTACAAGCTTCTCGTCAAAGCAGGATACAATCCCAATGAAAGTCGCTCTTTGGGAAAGCTCATACCTCAAGAGCAAAAGCACAACCGGGCAGGTCTTGGATATGTGGCATCGAGTCCAATTAGAATCGCCATCAAGAGAGCAAACACCAACCATGTCTCGGAAGGAGAGTTCTCGTCTTCTGACGGTGAAAAGAAAGAGAAAAGAGTGTCGGTGTTTCAAAGACTCGGTCCGGTGCGAAAGTCAAAAGGCAAACAATCTGTGTTTAAACGACTGGGATCTTTCAAGCAGTCAAAGCCTTTAAGACAAAAAAAAGGTGTAGGCCCGGCTCCAAAGCATAGAAGTCTAATTCTGTCACGTATGAAACGTCAAACTACCTTGATCGTATCACGTGGTGAAGTTTTAAAAGCAAAAATGCACACGATCATTCATACAAGAGTACATGATGATGAAGATGATGATAGAGAAAGTGTCGCTTCGTCTTACTATGCTTGCAGTACTCTTACAACTCCTAGAGATGATGAACGTTCTCTTTACCAAAAGATAGCTTATTTGGTGAGAAAAGGGTATATCACTGGAGTTGATGAAAATGTGCAGATACGACCTGTCACGGGAAGAAATGGACGGGTGCGAGCATGTATCGATTTCAAAGCTCTTGGTGAGCCGACCGAAGATATTGCATTTGTGAACCATATCACTATATGCGAGGATGCTCAATTAGAGGAAGAAGATGCTGAAGACGCACCTCCCGAGCTTGAAGAAGGTGTTAAGGCCACGGTCGATGAACTAAAAGAAATCAACTTGGGTGATGTTGACGATCCTCGCCCGACGTACATCACTGTATTGTTAACTATAGATGAAGAAAAGGCCTACATAGAGCTTCTTGGTGAGTTTAAGGATGTATTCGCATGGTCGTATAAGGAAATGCCTGGACTAGACCCAAAGGTGGCGGTGCATAACTTGTCCGTGAGAAAGGGGGCAAAACCTGTGAAACAAGCACAACGGAGATTCCAGCCTGAGTTGATCCTATTGATCGAGGCTGAAGTAAATTAACTCATTGAAGTTGGATTCATTCGCGAAGTTAAATATCCTACGTGGATCTCGAGCATCGTTCCTGTCAGGAAGAAAAATGGCCAAATTCGAGTTTGCGTTGTAATAACCCAACTTCTTGTTAATGGAAATGATGTACTATCTTTTATTGATTCCGTTCATTTTCAGCGAATAAGTTCGACGTTAAGTCGAAAAGTTTATCCGGTTAATTATTAACCGAGTCCAATTGATAATTAGTTTCCGAACCGTTTATTTTATAAACGGACATTATTAATCGAGATTAATTATTAATAGTTTAGCATGTTCGGAATTAAGTTCGAGGTTGAAACTAAGCTAAGTTGAGAAACAACGCAAGGTACATGAAGCATACGCATGTACACGCACTCATGCACGCATGCCGTGCACACAGCCACGCACATGAACGCGCATCGCGCGCAGCACTGCGCATCGCGCCTTAGCGCGCGTTAAGTACTCGCTAAGCACGCACTTAGGCGATGCTTAGTGACATGATCAGACCAAACTTCCACCTTAATATTATCGTGAGGAAAAATGCAAGGATAACCGTTGGGTGTGCAAGTGGGGTGATGAATCACCTATGTGCTTGCACACAGGGCGCGCCACGGACGCACGGGCGATGACTAAGCCCGTGCATGGCCGCCACCTCGGCAATGACTAAGCCAAACTCACCCACATTTCAGCCACGTTTACGCCACTTGGAGTTAGGAGTCACAAGGTCATCAATCACCTCCTTTCACCCAAAATTAACCCACGGTTTTACTCCTTTAAATAACCGAGCATGTGGAACGTTTTCCTCATGCATTTTCACGTGAGTTCAGCCAACTTTTAGCGTACTAAATAGAGAGAAAATAGTAAGGAAATATTGTAGAAAAATAGTGTATAAATAGCTAAGTAGTGCCGAAGCAAAGGAAGAGCATAAGGACATTAAAGGAGCACCGAAACCGCACGCAAGTCATCGTGCAATCCTCGACCGAACTGAAGGGTATACCCTTATTTACCTTCTGGTTATATAGTTAAGTTCATAATAGCAAGATCATGTCGATGTCATGTTGTTCGGTCCAAGTTCTTTAGCAAAATGCCCTCGGAGATGCCATATAAGCTCCCTCCGAGTAACT